GCTCTGGATCCCATTGAGACAAATTTCCATGGATAGAAACAAAACCCTCCTTGCTTCCAGAGCACTATCTGAACTTTGACTACAGGTTGTTGGTAGTGATACCTATAACATCTCCTATTTAATTCACCAGTTTAGGCTGTGCAGAAGACAGATGAATCTTGAAGAATGACTGTGGAATGTCATAAATGTAATCAGATGGGGACTCCAATTTCAGCTGCTCTCCATGAAGTAGTACCTTTATTGGCGCAGATTAACACATTGGTATGCAGCTGGGGAAGATCTGACATTTGGTATGCACTTATTTACCTTGCTAATGCCTTTTCCTCCATACTAATTTGCAAGGTCCATCAGAAGGGATTTGCTGTTACCCAACAGGGCCAATAGTATGTCTTCCCAGTGTTGCTACGGGCTCCATTAGTTCTCCTGCTCACTGCCATAATAGTCTGAAGTGATCTTGATTGTTCTGACATTCCACAAAACATCACACCGGCCCACTCTGTTGATGACATTATGTGATCATCATTGGATCCCATGAGCATGAAGTAGCAAGTACTTTAGATGCCTTAGTAAGACGTATGCTAGAGGGTGAAAGATAGACCTACAAAAATTAAGGTGGTGGGAGAGGCCCGCCTTCTCAATGGTGAGCGATGGCTACTGCTGAAAGGTCCACTGAATAAAACCACATTTTTAAAAATATATATATTTTTATTATTATTATACTTTAAGTTTTAGGGTACATGTGCATAACATGCAGGTTTGTTACATATGTATACTTGTGCCATATTGCTGTGCTGCACCCATCAACTCGTCAGCACCCATCAACTCGTCATTTACATCAAGTATAACTCCCAATGCAATCCCTCCCCCCTCCCCCCTCCCCATGATAGGCCCCAGTGTGTGATGTTCCCCTTCCCGAGTCCAAGTGATCTCATTGTTCAGTTCCCACCTATAAGTGAGAACATGCAGTGTTTGGTTTTCTGTTCTTGTGATAGTTTGCTAAGAATGATGGTTTCCAGCTGCATCCATGTCCCTACAAAGGACACAAACTCATCCTTTTTGATGGCTGCATAGTATTCCATGGTGTATATGTGCCACATTTTCTTAATCCAATCTGTCACTGATGGACATTTGGGTTGATTCCGAGTCTTTGCTATTGTGAATAGTGCTGCAATAAACATACTTGTGCATGTGTCTTTATAGCAGCATAATTTATAATCCTTTGGGTATATACCCAGTAATGGGATGGCTGGGTCATATGGTACATCTAGTTCTAGATCCTTGAGGAATCGCCATACTGTAAAACCACATTTTAAATCAGGTAGTTTACCTTCTAAAGGTAGAAAAGTCATTCATTTGGAACCAAACCACTTACTTCAGAATAGCTGTTCGGGCAAGTGAAGCATTTGCCTCAGTATTTGCTCTTAGTATTATTTTTAACATGATTTCTAATGACAGATTGTGACTTGGAGGTGATTCATTTTTGTTTCCTAGTTGTCTTGACAGCAACCTAATTCGTGATATTCTGTGTACTTGAGAATCCAAAAATTTTGCAATCCAACAATATGATGTTTATTAAATTTTTCCTAAGAAATACACTGGTAGGCCAGGCACAGTGGCTCATGCTTATAATCTCAGCACTTTGGGAAGCTGAGGCCAGTGGATTACTTGAGCTCAGGGGTTCAAGACCAGCTTGGGCAACATGATGAAACCCCCTCTGCCCAACATATAAAATTTAGCCGGGCATGGTGCCTTGCACCTGTGGTCTCAGATACTCAGGAGGCTGAGGGTGGAGGATCACTGGAGCTGTAGAAGTCAAGGCTGCAGGGAGCTGTGATGGTGCCACTGTACTCCAGCCTGGGTGACAGAGTGACTCTGAAGAAAAAAAAGGGCACTGATAAAAATTCTTTAGGACTGGATGGACTGAAGAGGGAGAATTATTTTTATTAAAAAAAATTTTTTTTTGGTTACAAATAATAGTGACTTACGGACCATAACTAAATAAAATTTCAAGGAGGGGCAACGCTCTTAAAGTCACTTCACTCAGAGTTTACTTTTACTGCTATGGTCATTTTTTTTTAGATTTCTTTCTGTATTTATTTATGCTTTTATTTTTTTATTTTTTTGAGACGGAGTCTCGCTCTGTCGCCCAGGTTGGAGTGCAGTGGCCGGATCTCAGCTCACTGCAAGCTCCGCCTCCCGGGTTTACGCCATTCTCCTGCCTCAGCCTCCCGAGTAGCTGGGACTACAGGCGCCCGCCACCTCGCCCGGCTAGTTTTTTGTATTTTTTAGTAGAGACAGGGTTTCACCGGGTTAGCCAGGATGGTCTCGATCTCCTGACCTTGTGATCCGCCCGTCTCGGCCTCCCAAAGTGCTGGGATTACAGGCTTGAGCCACCGCGCCCGGCCCTTATGCTTTTATTTTTATGTATGGTGTATTTATGACTTTTTCCTCTCTGAATTATTTTATGAAACTGAAATTAAAGTGGAAATACTTCTATGCCTTGCTTTTTTCCATGTGCTACATATCTCCTCCTAAAATTACTCATGAAAAATTTAAAAGGATTTTATTATGAAACATTTCAAACATACAGAAAATTAGAAAAAACATTATGCCAGTACCCTAGACACACCATTTACATTCAAGAAGTATTAATATTTTGAAAAATTTAGTTATCTTGCAAGCGAGAGGTGGGGTGCATTTTAAAGTACATCAAAGACCAGACGCTTACTTGAGTTTCAGGAAGTCCAAAGCAGGTTCTGGATAGCACTGGAGAGAAACCAACACGGGAGAGAAACCAGCCAGCAGTTTTCTGGCACTCCCTTAGTTTGAAAAAATTTACATCACAAGAAAGCAAGCCTTCCTTTCACCTTTTAGGTGCAAACTGACAAAAATAACCAGTAGGGCTACTATACTTCAGAGCCTTGCCCCCAGTAGATACTCAAAACATGCAGTTGAACTGAATTTCAGTTATTTTAAAGCCGTACTTGACAAACGTATGTGACAAATGTCCCTTCCTAATTTTCCTGAGAAGAGCAGTACTATGTCTTGAAGGCTAAAAAGCCAGAGGAGCCAGGAGTGGAGGGTGCAATAAAATGCCTATATTGGGGCAGATTGCCTCTTTTTGAATCCCTGACTCCTCACTGTGCTTTGGGGAAAACCATGGAAATTTTCACTGCCCAGCTTATTAAAATAGACTGCTTAGCTGAAATATAGAGGCGTCCATGACAACTACCTGGAGGGCTTTGTTAATCAGATTGCAGGACCCCACCCTCAGCTGCTGGTTCTGTAGGTCTATGTGGGGCCGAAAACGTGCATTTCTAACAAATTCTAGGGTGACAGTGACGCGGCAGGTCCCGAGACACCAGGAAACCCAAGGGACTGGAGGCAGGCCCTCAATAAATGTTCACTATGAACATCAGCACCATCGAAGCTGCCCACCAGCAGGGGCCGCGGGGTATGCGCCGCAGGGAAGAGCACGGCCTCTGTCCAACGTCCCTGCCGGTACATCACTCCTCTGCAGGGACTAGGTTAGAACCGGGAGGCAGCCGGAGTAGAGCTCTCGCTGGATAACGGAAGAGGACTCCCTCGCCAACTTCCGCCTCTGGGGAAAAGCTGGGGCCCTGCGCCAGCGGAGTTCTGCTGTCTCAATTTCGCCGCAGTTTGCTTCTGGCCCGGGCGAGAACCTGTCCTCTGGGCAAGCCAGGAGTCGGTGCAGGACTCCCGTACCCCAAGGCGAGGCGGAGGCAGGTGCCGAAAGGAGGCCAGACCACGGCACCCGGAGCCCGACTGGAGGGCGTGGCGGGGGAGGACGGCGTTCGCTCCCGTCCCGGCAGCTCCCGGGTCGGTTCCGAGCGCCCGCGGCCCGATGGCCCGACGGAAGATGGCTGCCCGGAGCGCCGCGGACAGTCACGTGTCACGCCGGGCCCGTCGCGCGCCCCCTCCCCCGCTCGCCAAGTCCCCGACCCCGCGGGGGGGACGGCCTTGGGCTACCTCTAGGCCACCGAGGTGCGGCGCGGGCCGGCCACGCAGGGCGGGCGTCGGGGCGGGAAGGTCAGCTCTCCCCGCTGTCCACCCTAACTTGGCCGCTGGGGCTCCGCTCGGGGAGCAGAAGAAAACCTTCGGGCGACCCGCACCAGGTGGGGCTACTGGGCATGCGCGGGCTCTGGCCCCGGCCTCGCCGCTCTCCGGGTTTTCGCCGCAGCTCGGAGGGGCGGCGGGAGGTGGGGCCCAAGCGGGGCGGGGCGGCTCTGACGCACCCGGAGTTTTCACCTCGGGCGGTTAGAGCTCTTGCACCTCCCTTACGCTCCCAGGCGTCGCCCGAGGCTTTATTTTTTGTTGTGGGAGGAAGATGAGTCTATGGTTAGAGGTTTGAAAATGGGCCTAATAGTCAGGTCGGCCGTTTCCTATGAATGATCCATCAGGCGTTAATCCCAAGTGTCGCAGCCCTTGGGCTAGGTGGGAAAGAGAATCCAGGAGTAGTTCGCAAACTCGTGCCTGGCTTCCAGCAAACTGAGTTTGCGTTCCCTGATTTGTGACCAGCTCTAGCGGCTCCCGTCTCCGGCCCTGCCCCAAGGGATTTACCGTCCCTGATTGTAAAACCTGACTCCCGCTCGGCCTTACTTAGTGGGCCCCTAAAAACGCTAGGGAAAGCGCCCGCCTTCTCCGTTTCCCATTACTTGAAAGTAAAATTCAAGGGGTCCAAACCGCAACTGTCCCTTGGTTCGGGGGTCCCGCTCGGTCCCGGGAGGAGTCCCCTGCGGACCCCGCCCGGCCGTCCCGCCCACCCCGGCCGCCTCGAACACCCGGAGGAGCGGAGTCGCGTGGCGCGGGAAGCCGGGCCGGCTCGGGCCGCGGACTGGGCATGCTCGGCAGCCCGGGAGGCTCGCGGTGTTAAGTCGGAAGCGTTCGCACCAGCGGGGCAGCGGCGGCGGGCGGCGGGCGGCGGGCAGGTCGGGAGTGAGAAGGACCGGCTAGGGCAGACTGCTCTTCCCTCGCGCCTAGGGAGCCGGTCGGAGAGCGCGATTGGGGTGCGGAGCCCCGACGCTGCCCTGCCCCGGATTTCATTCCGCGGCAGGGGGCTCCGCGAGCGGAATTCCGGCTGCTGCCGCGACTCCAGTGCAAGTGAGTCGTGGGGACGGGACAGAGAGCCGGCCTCGCCATCGCGGGGGCCGGTCGGACACCTGTCTCGCGGGTCCGGCCTTATGCCGGGGAGCGGCGGGCAGGCTGCCCTGGGGCGAGGGGGCGTGAGCGCAGCCCGCGCGGTGCCGCGCGCGTACCTGGCGGGCACTCCCCCAGAGCTGCTGCTCCTTGGGGGTGGGCACAGCAGGGAGGTCCGGCGGCCGGGATCCGGGCTCGGAGGGGGCGGGCCGCCGGCGTGGCTCCCCGGCTAAGTTGGGGCGGGGAGGAAGGAGGAGGCGTCAGTGGGCATCTTTTAAGAGCTACTGCGTGCGGGCTGGAAGGCTGCCTAGTGTCGGATTGGGGTGCTCGGGAGGCGAGGAGCCTTTGGGCAGTGGCCCACCGGGGGTCCGGAGACCCCCCCCAGGGGCCGGCTCCAATCACGGCCCCACCCCCACAGCCTAGGTGGCGGTGTGACAGTTGGTACCTTCGGGCCAGATCGCAGCCGGCCGGCCAGGCGCCCACTGTTTCGGGATCCCCCCACAGTGGCCCTTCGATGCCCCCTGACGACGAAACAGGTGGGACTCCCCCTCCCCGAGGAGAGGGCTTCTCCCCAGGCCGCGTAACAGCCCCCCAGGCCCGCGGGCGGCTCTGAGACCCCGCAGGGCTGCCCCCGCTGGGCGGGGACGTTTAGGGGCAAGGCCTGGAGGGGCATCGGCGCAGCCCAGAACTGGACAGTCTCTCCAGGACACGGCTTTTCCGTGACAGAGGGGGTCTGCGCTATTCCCCAGCGACGTGTCAAGGGCAAAACAGCGGCAGCAGCGGCTGCCTCTCCCACCGTCTTAACCCGAACTCGGGCTTGTGGCATCCTCCCGTGAGCCGGGTAGAGTGCCATAGTCCAGCTAACGGATTCAGCCTGGAGCGTTCTGGTGAATGCTGCTTTCCTCTTTGGTGCCGCGAAGTAGAAATCGGGAGGAGGGTTGTCATGGCCGGAGGGAGCGAAGAGAATCCAGGCAGGTGCTTCTCAGATGTTTCTTTTCACCTTCAAACAGTACAGACTTCAGCGGTACACGCTTGCGAAACCAAGTGAAGGCTGCTTTCTGAAAGGGAAGTTTATTTTCTATGTTCTGGGGCCTGTCGACTATTTTAGTTCCCTTGACATTTACCTTCCTGGACCTTTAAAGCTGTTTGGACAGGTTATTTTGCTTTCAGGTTTGGGGATGTTTCTGGTTGGTTCCCTGGATGTGGAAGTGGCGAATGTCTGATGTGCTGTACTGTGAACTCCCCACGCTTCCTGGCACTGGGGGTTGAACATTCAGGGGGTACTGAGTGGGCCGAAGGAGAGGAGTGGGACTGGTGACGTAGGAAGGCGATGGGAGTTGCCTAGAGCTGCCCAGATGGAACGGGGTTGGTGGCTGTTTTGGCCTGTGCAGAAGGGGAGAGGGCGGGGCGTTTCATTGGTCGGGGTGTGAAATGTCCACGGGCTAAGGCAGCGGGGGATGGGTGCCTGTCTGGTCAGTGCTCCAAGGGAAGCCCAGGGATGTTTGGTGATTCAGCAGGTGGCAGCTTTCCAGCTCTGAAGACATGCCGTGGCCAAGCAAAGAAGCAAGCAAGCAAGCAAGCAGCAGCCTGTGCCTGCTGTCGGAGGCGCCAGCTTTGGGGGAACCTCCAGGAGCTGCCTTCTGCCTGTGGCAGCTCACTTGCCTTATCTTGCTTCCTGTTTAGCTCTGGAGGCCCTGGTTTTTCGAGTTTCCTTACTGCGCCTCTTAAAATATACAGCAATATATAGCATGTTTTTGAGTCTCTCCATCTCTGTGACCTGCTGGGTAGCAGGGTGGTGGCCACTGCCGCCATGCAGTTTAAGTAGTTATTCTGCAGAAAGTGATAGTGATATGTAAAGCAGTGAAGTGGCCTTTCCTTCCATTTCTGCTTCACAGAATAGAAATTTATGTTTTTAGTAAAATAATAAGATATATTTCTGCAATTCTTCGGTGATGATAGTGAGCTATTTGAAATATCTGGAAACTTTTTAATAAAAGACATTAACTCCAGAGATGTATTAAATTGACATCAGAGGGACACGGTTATTAAACCAGTATCTTACTCACTGGAGGATTTCTAGCATCTTGCACAATGTCTTAGCACTCAATACATGCCTCTGCAGCTGAAATTTAAAAAATTCTTCATAACAGAAGAGTTCACCAGTATTCACCATGTTCATCAACTATTTTAAAGTCTGTATTAATATGGTTAGAATAAAATATATGCATCAATGCCTTTGCACATTGACATTTAAAGAATGTTTATGTTTTCATAAGACATGATTGCCTGTGTTGACCATAGACATTCAATTTTAGCTTGAAAACTTGATTCTTTTACTTTTCTGGTTAAATTTATTAATTTTCAAACTTGTGGCAGATCCTACATTTCAGCTGGAAAAATGGTGTGCTTTGTTAACATATGTCATGAAAACCAAACGGATTCCTGACTCCTAAGTATAGCCATCAGTTTTGTTTGTTTTTCTTTTGAGACAGGGTTTTGTTCTGTCGCCCAGGATGGAGGGCAGTGGTACAATCTCGGCTCACTGCAGCCTTGAACTCTACAGGCTCAGGTGATTCTCTTACCTCAGCCTCCCAAGTAGCTGGGACTACAGGCACGCACCATCAAGCCCAGCTACTTTTTGTAGACATGGGTTTTGCTGTGTTGCCCAGGCTGGTCCCAAACTCCTGGGCTCAAGTGATCCTACTGCCTTGGCCTCTCAAAGTGCTGGAATTACAGGTGTGCGCCACTGCACCTGGCAGAATTTTTTTTTTTTTTTTTTTAACTAAAAAGTGCTCCTGTTGCATGTCAAATGTGCTTCAACTTACAAAACTTCATTTTATACATAACATTTCAGGAAAACTCTGAAAAATGCTGCTATAGAAAAGCTGAAAGAGCATTTTGGGAATAAAAGTTCTGGATTGTTTGCACACAGGGATCAATGCCCTGGTCTTTAGGAGGGAGGCATGAGTGTGCTGCCATTTCATTCTGCCCTTTACCATCACTATCTGTTCCTTCCTCCAATTGTTTAGGTATTTCTTCTTCCCCTAAAGAGGTACTTTCTTGGCATGAGCTTGCTTTTTAGAGCAATCCTGTCAGAAAAATCTGTTGCATTTTCTCACACAAATTTGATCAGTGGTGATTTTTATTTTTTGATTGCCACATACACTTTCCCACCACTTCATATGGCAAACTATTCAGTGGCTCTTGGAAAGAGCTGTGGCCCTTGTGTCCTTGTGGGGGTATAACATGTTATAGATGGCTTTGCCTTTTTTGGATGGTAGCTATAACCATAACAGTCTCTTCTGGAAGAACTTTTATGACATCCTGGGCTTCAAGATTTTTGGCTTTCCTATTAAAGGCTTCTGGTCAGGAATATAAATGGCTATTTCTTCTCTCCAAGAGCATCCCTGTAAAGGTTGTTACCTCCATTAAGCTACCCAGTCACAAGAGGACCTTATTTTGGATCAGCCCACTTGGATGTGGGAGTTGGGAGGCAGCATTGGATGTTGGGGAGGAGAGAGTGAAGAAAGGGAGAGAAGGGTGGGCGGAGCCCCAGGAAGGTAGCTTGGTTTTATAACTGTGACTTCCGGGATTCAGTAAAGCTGCATTGAATGGTGATGATGAGTAAGTGTGGTTCAGGCTCCGCTGGAATGCTTTGCTGTTCTCCCAGTCCTCAGTCTCCACAGATAAACACAACACACACATGCAGTCGCACACAGATCCACAGACACAGAGACTCACACAGACAGCAAAGAGAAAGACACGGAGAAACAGACACACACACTCTGCCAAAAGCCAAGAGCACTAGTGTCATTTTAAACTAATATGTCAAAAGGAAAGTCCAGGGCTCAGTAGCAGGTTTGATTTTGGGGACCTGAAATCACCCCAAGCTGGTATTGAGAAAGATTCCCTTCCACTCTCAGTGACAAGCTGATCTGCCCCCTTAATGATGTAAAGCCACGGGGACTTTAACTGAAGCAACCATTATAGGTAAATGCAGGTGAGTGGAGATTTAGAGAATTTGGGTGATTTACCTTTTAGACTCCTGGTGCTGAGAGCTGAGCTCACATTCCAGTTCTTGGCACAGGATCCTCACTGTGCAAAAAAGCCCCTTGCTTGTTCTATGTTTTTCTCCTTCATTCCCCTCCCACCCCACCCCACCCCACCCCACCCCAGGCCCCTCTCCCCCAGAGGAGCCTTCTCTCCAGTGCAGGATATGTTCTTGTATATGTCTGTATCCTTGTTAAAGATGTTGAGTTATTTTGTTTGTTTTTAGTTTACATAAGTGGTTCTATGCTATAGATTTCATTCTTTTTTTATTCAACGTTAGAGCTTTTATTATGGAAATTTGCAGGCATTCATAAAAGTCAAAAGAACCTTAACATTTTATTTGTGAGATCCCTGTTAGTGTAGGTTTATCTAGTGCATTGCCTTGACTGCTGCTTTGTAGGGCTGGTCTTTTGTGTGTCTCCTACTTTTACGTACCCATTTCCCTATTGGTAGATGCTTAACTCACCTCTACTCCTGCTACCACTAGCAAACATCCTGTATGCATTTTCTTTCTTTTTTTCTTTTCCTTTTTTGTTTTTTTTTTCTGAGACAGTGCCTTGCTCTCTCGCCCAGGCAGGTGTGCAGTGGCGCGATCTTGGCTCACTGCAGCCTCCGCCTCCTGGGCTCGAGAGATTCTCCTACCTCAGCCTCCTGAGTAGCTGGGTCTGTGTGCATTTTCTTAATGATCGGGTTGAGAATATCCCTAGGGTAGTGGTTCTCAAAGTATGGTCCACACCTGGCAGCATCGGCATCAACTGTGAACTGTTAGAAATGCAGATTCTTGGGTCCCAACATTCTAGACTTCCTGAATCAGAAACCCTAAACTGTGCTTCAGCATGCCCAGGCTGGAGATTCTGATACATGGGAAAGTTTGAGAACCACTGCTCTAAGGGTATATACTTAGGAGAGGGATG